CAGCGGGCACTCGGCTACTGGGGCCTCCCCTCCGCCGCCATGCGCGCGCGAGTGCCGCTCGGGGTGTCCCGCGGGAGGTCGCTGGCGAAGGGCGGCTCCGACGCGGCCAAATGTTTGCGCAACGTCCACGGCGGGGGCTTCCTGGCGGAGTCCTTCGCCCGCTTGAAGTCGCCCCGCAAGGTCATCGGGCGCGTGCGCGTCGCCCAATCGAAGCCGCCCACCAAGAGAGCGATGCGCGTCGCCAACTGGGCCGCGGGCTCATGCAGCGCGCGCCGCCCGAAATCTTTGCGAGCGCGCAGCGCGACCGCAACCCGAGCCATAAAGTCGTTGCGTTCGCGCAGTAGCATGTCCCGCAGCCTCTTCGTCAGGTGGGCCAGGATGGGCGTGAAGTCCCGCGTGGGCGCCCTGCTCGACCCCATCCAGCTTCGCGCCTGCGGCCGCGTTAGCGGCCGGCATGTGCGCCGAGGGCGTGGCCGACTCCGCGGCGCGGCCGAGCAGCTTGGCCATCGCCCTCTCGTTGAAAGGCGTCTGGCCGATCTCCGTGGCCAGCGCGGCCGAGTCCTCGGCGGAGATGAAGGCCCACGGCGCCGTGATGGCGAGTGCTGTAGTGCTCTGCGCCTCCACAATCTCCGCGTGCGAGTCGGGCCCCCTCCCGACCTGGGAGAGGAACGATTTGGCGACCTTCAGCTGCCCCGCCAGCTCGGCCGCCGCGGCGCCCGCGGGCGTCGCTCGCGTGCGACGCGAATGCAAAGCCGCCCGCGGCTATGCATGGCTTTCGGTCGCAGCGATTGCCGCGTGGCGATCGGCGCCGCTTGACACTCCGCCGCCTTCTCCGAATCTTCTCCGCCTCCTCCTCCTCTTCTCCCTCCTCCTCCTCCTTCCCCGAGCGGTCGCCGTCGCAGCCCCCCCTATCCCACTTACGCCTCCCCGAGCGATCGCCGTCGCCGTTCCCCCCGCCCCCCCCGCCCCGCTCCTCCATCTCCCCCCTCTCCTCCCCCGAGCGGTCGCCGTCGCTGCCTTCCCCGCCCCCCTCTTCCTCGCCCCGAGCGATCGCCGTCGCTACCTCCCCCGCCCCCTCTTCCTCCTCCCCAGGCGATCGCCATCGCGGCCTTCCTCCTCTTCCTCCTCCTCCTCCTCCTCTCCCTCCTTCTCCCCCCCCCATCCTCCTCCTTCCCTCCCCCGAGCGCTCGCTCGCCGTCGCTGCCTTCCCCGTCTCCAACCTCCTCGCCCAAGGCGATCGCCGTCGCTGCCTCCCCTATCCCTCTTCGCCCCCCCCATGCGATCGCCGCCGCTGCCTTCGCCGTCGCCCCCCCCCTCCCTGGGCGATCGCGATCGCCCGCGGGCGGGCCCGCGGGCCGCGCGCTGCGCGCGGGTGCGCGGGGCAGGGGGGGGGGGGGGGGGGGGGGGGGGCGAAGGAGGGGTGGAAGGGGGTGGGCTAAACTACTTGCAAGTTACTTCTATGTGACTTATATGTGTTGCATAACAAGGCGAGTCAGTATCTTGTGATAGTTGACAAGTATCTCACGCCCTCAGGAAAACAACCGGCGACGCACGTATAAGTGGCCCACGTATAGTTGCGCGGCGAAGCAACTGCTCAAGATGCATAGAAATAGTTAGGGCGCGCTGCAGCCAATTATCCTTTTGCAATGAGTATATTGCGCCCAACTATACCTGTGGCGTGCAACATGAGAGCCTGCGCTCTCTAAGCGGGGGGTCTCCGGGAACTCTCCGGGGTTCTCCAGTTTCCCCGGTTCCCCGGGTATCTCCGCGACTCTTCCGAGTCTTTCCGAATTTTCTGGGAGCTTGGGGGATTCTCCGGAAGTTCCTAGGAATTCTCCGGGTTCCCTAGGGGTTCTCGGGGGTTCTCTGGGATTCTCCAGGGTTATCCAAAATTTCTCCGGGTTCTCTTAAAGGCCTTGGGGTTCTCTGGGTTCTCCGAAGTTCTCCGGGTTCTCCGAGATCTCCGGCGCTCTCTGGGGCTTCTCCGGGGTTCTCCAGGTTTCTCCAGCTTTTCAAATTGTCTAGGATTCTCGTTGGTTTCTTCTCTGGGGTTCCCCGGTTTCTCCGGGCTCCCTTGGGGTTCTCCAGGGTTCTCCAATATTCTCCGGGTTCTCCGGGATTCTCCGGGGTTCTCCGCGTTGGCCGGGGTTCTCCGGGTTCTCCGGGGGTTCTCCGGGGTTTCTCTGCGTGTGGTTCTCTGGGTTCTCCGGGTTCTCCCAAGGCTCTCCGGGGTTCTCTGGGGTGGTTCTTCTCCAGGTTCTCTGGGTTCTCTTAGCTCGCCAAGTTCTCCGGGGGTCTCCGGCTTCTCTGGGGTTCTCCGGGCTTTCCGGGGTTCTCCGGGGCTCTCCGGGGATCTCCGGTATCTCCGGGGTTCTCCAGGTTCTCCGGGTTCTCTGGAATTTTCTGGGTTTTCCGGGCTCTCCGGGGTTTCTCCGGGGGTTCGAAGTGCTCGGGGGTTCTCCGGGGGTCCTCCGGGGCCTCTCCGGGTTATCTCCAAGTTATCCGGGGTTTCTCTCAAGCTTTCCGGGGTTATCTGGCTTCTCCAGGTTCTTCGGGTTCTCTTGGGTTCTTTGGGATTCTCGGGGTTCTCCCATGAACGTCCATCTGACCTTTAATAGCGTCCAACCTCAATTTAAATCGTCCTTGTATTCTTCGTCGATGCATTTAGCGTCGCGGCGCTAAATTGCAAGGCCAAGGTCGTCGTTGCGTCGCCATCAGAACGTCGCGAGAAGAAGACGGGCAGCCTCCTCTTATTGCGCGGCGCGCCCGCCGTTCTTTTGTTACCTCAGCGCGGCAGGTCGCATCGGCCGCGCCATCGGCTGCGCGCGATAACCGCGCGGAAGAAAAAAACGCGCCGCCGTGGGCGAGGGCCGCGCCTCTTCGCCGCGTGCCCCACGCTGCCTCCGAAGTCCTCGCCCCTGTAGGTCCAGCGCAGCGACTGCTGTTCGCCTCCGACAGCCATCTCGAGGAGTAGGTGCGCCTTCGGCTTCGCGCGCCAGTTCTTCGGCTGCATCTGCTGGAGGGCAGCAACAAGTGCCGCGAACCTGCTGACGGAGTCGCGCAGCAGGTCGCGTCTGAAGATGCAGCCGCTGCCCAGCGTGTTGGTAGCATGTGTGCAAGTGGCGCATCACGTTGGGTGCGGCGTCGTCCGTGGCGCTCCCAGAAACGCAATGGCTCTCATAAACTTCCTTGCGACGCGGAACTTTGGGACGCGGAACTTTGGGCACGCCTTCTGGGCTTTCGCAATGCGCTCGCTGAAGTCATGCAATCTGTCGGGCGTGCCGTTGGCATCGTAATGCGCCTGGATGGGCGCCCGCGTCGCATCGCTCTTCTCCTTTCGGCTTCGCCCGGACATTTTTTTATGTGATGTGCCACTGCGGCGCGCCCGCGAAATCCGCTCCGACTCCGATGTCCACAGCGTGCAACCAATCAATCTTGAATGCGTCGACGGTGATGTCGGGCAGGCTCAGCGCAGGCGAGACAGAGCCTCGCAGAATTGTGGCCATGGCGTCCTGCAGCGAGCGCCTGTGCTCTGGCCTCGTCCACGGAGAAGAGCTCCACCAGGAAGGCCCGAAGAGGCCCAAATCATATATTTTCTTTTGATTTCTGAAGCATGTTAGCATGTTCCTCTTTTTAGCTCTCCGGCGGCCCAAGAGGCCATCAACATCGCCCCAAGAACGCCCAAGAGGCCTCCAATATGGCCCCATGACAAGCCAAGAGGCCCCCGAGAGGGCCCCAACAAGACCCCAAGATGGCCCAAGATGGCCTCCAGGACCCCCAAAATGGCCTCCAGGACGGCCAAGATGGCCTCCAAGACGGCCGAGCAGGCCTCCAAGACGGCGAATATGGCCCCACGATGCACCCAAGACGGCCTCAGATGGCCTGAGGATGGTCTTAGACTGCCCAAATGGCCCGCCAGAGGCCTCCCAAACGGCCCCAACCCCCTCCAAGACGTCCTCCAGGAGGCCCGAAAGCTGGGAAACCACCTGGTCCGATACCTCGCCCGACTCCGTGTTCCCCGAAGGCTTTCGAAACCCACTCGGGGAATGCGTGGCCCGATAGCTTGGCCAACCTCAAACCCAACTTTCGGCCACGCAGGCGCTTCCAAAAAGGCAGGGGGCGGCGGTGATTTGCAGTAGGTGTCCTCGATACAAATACAAACATAATTCACGTTGTAATGCGATGATATGAATTCATAATTCGGATGGACGATGGGAGATCGGGTGCGACTGGGGGAGACCGACTGCGGCGTTGTCGCTGGGAATTGTGCCAATATTCTATATATAGATATTTGTATATACACATCCCCTGCTCTACCCGACCAACGACAGACCCGGGGCTATGTGGGCATTGTGCGCGGTTTTGGGGAAATCTCGCGCTATGAACTTCCCGACGCTCGGAGAGGACCCGCAAGGCCCCCTATGACGGCCTCACGACGGCAGCTGCGACCTCCACGACGCCCACAGAAGCGCCCAAGACCAACTCCAAAAGAAAACCAACCAAAGGACCCGATCGGACACTCCAAGCCTTCGGCCCCAAGAAGACCACAGGAGATCCCACCAAAACCCCCACAAGGCTGACACGAGGCCCCCACCGGACGGCATCTACTACACCCCAAAGGGGTCGGTGCGGCGTAAGCCCGAGAATAACTATTTTTTCTGATGGGCCTCCACCCCCTCTTCTTCTTCCTCCTCGTCCTCATCCTCCACCTCCTTCCCCCCTCCAACTCATCGTGGTGGTGGTGGAAAACAGGCCCATCATTTTCGTCCTTGTGGCCCTCTCGGAGGCAATATGGGAGCCTTGTGGAACCTGGTGGGGGCCTTCTCGGGCCGAATGAAAGCCCGCGGCAGAGAGACGCTCTGGGGGCCTTTCGGGCCACTCGCGGGGCTCGCTCCGGGACTGCGCCGCACGAGCGGGGCTGCGGAGGCGCCGCCGCCGCGGGCCTGGCGAGCGGAGTGAATGGCCCCTCTGGCACGCGCTGAGCCCATAATTGTTGTAGCATAGATGGCGACTGGCTCCAATTTGACCTTCCGCAGCTCTCTGAGCAAGCCCAACGCTGGCTTCCACTGCATGCCTTTCTCGCAAGCGCTGATTCCAGCGTCGTAGCAAATGATATTGGCCTCCACATGAATCCTTAACGACTCTCTGAGCAGCAGTAGCGCCTGCTCCCATTGGCCGCTCTTTTCGCATGCGCTCACGCCAGAGTTGTAACTGGTGCAGTCAGGCTGCAGTTGTACCTCCGCCAAGATGACGAGCAGTAACAATGCGATCTGCCACTGCGCGCTCTTCTCGCAAGCGCTGATCGCGGCGTTGTAGCTGAAACGAGCCATCACGATTGAACCATGTGCGAACCGTCGACGGGACGGGAAACCAAAAACCGGTGCAAGACCCGTGCGCCGCAGAAGTGCGGGCACAGAAAAAGGCTATCGCCCGGCCGCTGTTCGCTTTCGTGGCCGCTCTCGCGGGTGTGCTTACATGTGCGCTTTCTCTCGCTCTCGCCTATGTCGCCGCCCTCGCAAAGCGGAGATGACTACGCCCAAGGCCGAACTCGCGTGCGCGAGCCTTGGCTCCAGGCCCGAGCCCGACCCCCAAGGCCTCCAGCAGGCTCGGAGGCCGTCAGCTGATCACCTCACCGATCCTGGGCCCAAGATCGGTGTACGGCAGGTTCGTGCCGTGACGACTTCGGCGTTGATTTCTAACCGCGTTGCATTACTTTTCCTGGATGGCGTAATCCCCCCCCCCCCTCCTGGACTCTCCCGGGGAGCTGAAGTTGTTCGGCCTGCGGCGAGTGGGGTACAACAAGCTGTCAAGCAAACGGCGGGACGCATCCGTTGCGAGTGGAGGCACGGGAGCGCAGGCGGGCGAGGGGCGAGGAGAAGGAAGGCCGCGGAACGTCCGCAGAACCCTTAGATCGTGTATAGAGGCCGCATACATGGGGTCGGTGGTTTGCACTGCATCGCTCATGTATCGGCGATGCATCGGCGACGTCGGCGATGCAACGGCCACGTCGGCGTGGAGAACATCAGGCCTCACACCGCGCCGCGTCGGCGATGATGCGCAATCCTCCGACCCCATCTGCTGCAACCCCATCTGGGAGGCCCAAGAATCTCTTCCTGGACTGGTGGAACCCCGTCATTCTTATGACTGGTTTTGTCCGCAGCCGTGCGTGGATCTTTGAACCGTCAGCGATCGTCAACTTCTCGATCGCCAAATCGTTTCATGTTGGCCCTCTCTGAACCACTGGCGGCATTCAACCTCGAAAACCCGCTCTGGGGCCGCAGCCGTGTCGACACGGCTGGAGAACCATCAGATCGTGTAGACCTTTTTAGGCTGTGCGCCGGAGCAAGAGCTCACCTTGTGGCCTCCTAGGTGGGGTCCGAGTAGTTGGGGTCGGAAGATCGTGCCGCATCGTCAATGCATCGCCGATGCATCGGCGACGTCGGCGTGAAGAAAATCGGGCTTCACATAGAGCCGTATCGCCGATGCATCGACGATGCGGAGCGATCCTTCGATCGACTACACGCAAAGAGTGACCCTGGGCAAGAGTGACGTTTTAGTGCGCGGCCAAGGGGGGCTCTTTGGGGACACCACCAGGCGCGCAAGCTGCTGCTATCGCATCGCGCTCGGCGATTGGGGGGACCCCATTGGGCCCGCACCCACGGCCACTCCGGCGAAAGGTCGCTCTTACGTGTAGTCGATTCGGCCCTACCTGCTTGGACCCCATGTGAGCGGCGATCAAAATAACAGGTCTTGCGCGAGATGGCAGAGCGGCATTGCGCCGCAACTTGCGCGGGCCGCCCGCGCAGCACGCCACAAACGGAGACGAGGACGCTGACGCGCTACCTAACTCGGGCAACTTACGCGCCAATGCCGGCGCAAACGACCCCCTTTGTTTGCGTCGCTCATTTGCGAGGCTTTAGACAAGCGCGTTCCGCTGCGCGCAAAGTCACTACTCGCAAATGGCATGGATCCGCCATGGGAGATTTACGATGAATTACATCGATGCAGACCCGTTTTTTTTTCGGACGGTTGCGAGTAGGCAGGTTGCGAGTATAGTGGAACGCGCTCGGCGAGGCATGGATCACCGGAAACGCCGAGCACCCTGCGCCCCGGGCCCTGCCGGGGCCGTGCCAGGGCGGTTCGCCGCCCAGGGGCGGGCTCTCGCCCTCGAGCCCCTGCCCCCGAGCACCGTGGCCTCGGGGCCCAGGAGGCTCGCTGCCAGGCGGCAGCCCGGCGTGGCAGCTGTTCGGCAGCACGCAGGGAGCGGCCCAAGGAGTGCGAGGAGGAGGAGGAGGAGGAGGAAGAGGAGGAGGAGGCGGGTCGCCGGACCATTTGCTCTGCCAACGGACACGGCGCACAAATAACCCCACAGTCTGGAACCAATGAACCTGAATCTGTCCGAGCTGTTGTCTCTCTTCTTGCAGTCCGCCGCATAATTCGACTACAACACAGTAATACATGCTATGCTGGTATTTTGCATAATCTGGGAATGTGCCAGCGCGGATGGGGACATTGAGGCTCTTATGCGCACGATCGACGCTGACGAGCAACACTTCGATGACTTGCATCATGCATTCATCCGACCGTAGGACAATGACATGGCATGTACTTCCGAATTGCACACCGCTGAGATCTGGGCTGAGCCATGTCTCCTCTGTCCTTCTCCTCTCTGCCTTCCTCCCTGTAGATTCCCACCCGTCCTTCCCTTCGCTCTCCTTGGGCCCACCGAGGCAGCCTTTACGGCGGGAGCGGGGCGGCGAGTGCCTCAGAGGGTATGCCAGGTTTTGCTTCAGCCACGTCGTTCCGTCGTGCATGCTAGTGCCCAACCAGACAGCACACACTGTAATAAGAGACGCTTCTGTCTGGTGGTTGGGCGGGATGGGGTCGGAGTGGTGGTTGTGGGAGGGGGAGTAGACGGCATTCGTTGCAAGCGCTCGGTTGCTTCCTCTGCAACCCGTTGTGGGCGGAGCGCCTTGATGTTGTGATGTACGTATCAGCGCAGCGGCGCCCGAAACGAACAGCGGCTGAGTGTAGCCCCGCTCCCCGGTCCGCGCCTGTATTCCCTGCCGTGGTGGTGGGCCGTTGGGGCACGTGGCCATTGGGGCAGACCATGGAATTGATATGGGGGGGGATCATGGTGGAGGCAGAGGAGGACGAGGAAGAAAAGAAGGCGGAGAAGCCGGTTGCCTCCTTTGCATCTTCTTGTGGGAAGAACACGTTGACATATGGTGAATGTTCCAGCGCAGCGACTTTCCGAGACGAGCCGCGGCTGAATTTAGCCCCGCTTCTCAGTCCGCTCTGCCTCCATGGGCCATGGAGTCGGCATTCCTATGTTGCTTTGCGTTTATGGGCAGCAGCTTCCTTCTGCCATCACTTTTTGTTCCCGAGACGTAAGGAAGGGTATAGAGGTGGCGTAGAGGAGATTCATTGCGAGCGCTCGGTGCTTCCTCTGCAACCTGCTGTGGACCGATCACCTTGCTGTTGCGGTGTATGCTCGAGCGCAGCGGCGCCCGAGACGAACAAAGGCTGAGTGTAGCCCCGCTCCTCGGTCCGCTCCGCCTCCATTTCCTGGCACGTGAGGCACGTGGCCACCACGACAGACCATGGAGTTGGCATCTCTCAATTGATTCGCGTGTATGGGAGGCCGTTTCTTTCTGCCACCAGCCGCGGCACCCGAGGCGTAGCGGGGGAGGTATGGAGTAGGATGAGGAGTGGGAAAGGATTTTAGTTGGTGGGAGGACGCCGACACCGACAGGCTGCGACTCCGTAGGGGCTTCTTTGCGTTTTCTCTGTGCCCCTCGATGACAAACCAGCTTAAGAATACTACGCTCGGTGAGGGCAAAGGCAATCGTAACATTGGCCCCTCCGCAATGTCCGTCGGTGAGGGCGGCGGGTGGTGATGAAGGTGATTTAGGAAATATTGTGCTCATCGGTAGGGATGAAGACTAGCATCAATACCGGCACACTCCGCAGGCCAGCCATTTGACATGGCACTCTGACTGCATTTTCTGCCCGCTACTTGTCACAGAGGGTTCGTGCTAAACCCGAGCAGAGGTCTCGAAAAACACGTACGTCCTGGGGCCGGTGAGGTTCGGGGTGAACCGGAAAACGCTGGGTAGCAGCCCAAGAATTGCCGCACGCCCCTGATTTTACATGTATGCCAGATCTAGTCTACACCAGCACTTGCACTGCCTCAGGCCAGCCAGTACAGTCTGTGCCAGCCTAGCTGTTGTTTGCACATGTTTTGCTCTGTACTGCAACCTTTGACTAAACAAGGTGGGAGGGGGCTGCTGATGAGATGGGAGGAGGCGGTGGTTGGGGAGGTTCCTTGCTTCACCTTTGCCTGCAGCATGCTATGGATGCTCTACTGTTCCATACATCTACAACCGAGAGGCGCCTTCCTTTACTCCGGACTGTTGCAGAGCACAGGTCTGCCGCTGCTTTTTCATAACTAGGGCTTCAGGCTCTGTCCTTGAGTCAGCGCAGCGTCACAGGAGGAGGGCGAGGAGGATGCGGAGGAGGAGGGAGGAGGAGGGGGAGGAGGGGGAGGAGGAGGAAAAGGAGGGGGAGGGGGAGGGGGAGGAGGGGGAGGAGGAGGAGGAGGAGGAGGAGGAGGAGGAGGAGGAGGAGGAGGAGGAGGAGGAGGAGGAGGAGCAGGAGGGGATTATGACCAAAATCTGCGGTTAGGGCGATGAAGTCTGTACGTGTCCACCGCCCCTGGCCAAGCCCATCCTGGGCCCAGGAGAGGTGCGCGCGCTTCCGTGGCTCGGCCAGGGAGGCATATGCACCGATCCTGGCTCACGATGGGCCTGGCCGTGGGCGTGGATGCATCGATCTTGGTGCCCGATGTGGTGCGCCCTGGGGGCTGCGGGAGGGCCAAGCCCATCTGCGAAAGTCTGAGCTGGGGGGGACCCCGTGGGCCCGCAGCAGAAATCAACCCTGCGGAAAGTCACTCTTACGCGCACTTAGCCGAGCCAGGCGTGGGCTCGGGCTGGGACCCCCTCCTCGTCCTCCTCTTCCTGTCGTTGTGGATAACACTCGTCGCGCGCTCTCGTCCCGGTCTTCGTCCTCGTCCTCTTCCTCGTCCTGGGCTTCGCTCGCGCGCTCGCCCCCTCTGCAGCGCTGGGCCACTGTTCGACACATCGGCCCCCTCCTCCTCGGCCTTCTCCTACTCTATCCGTGCTCCTGGAAAATAACTCCTCCTTGTCGCGCACTGGACGTGTCAGTGCGGTCCAGGCATTCCGCCAAGTACTTTCTCACTTTTTCAGATCGTCAAGCTCGAACTTCAAACTGCGCAGACGGATGGACAACGGCCCGTTTTCAACATATTGCTCCCGTCTGCGCGTATTCGTGGTATCTTTTCAAATTCGGGCTCTCGCCTTGGACTCTCGAAATAGATGACCCCAACGCTTGCAATTTCCAACGCATGCACGGACGTGGATCGCACTCAATAAACGGGAGTCGTATTGGGCTCCACTTTAACGTCCCGCAGCCCTTCAAGCAAGACCAGCGCCACCTCCCACTGCCTGCTCTTCTCGCACGCGCTGATTGCAGCATTGTAGCTGACTAGGGCGAACCCGTGGACTTCGTCCACGACCAGCATGTCCCCCTGGCGCGCCTCCGCGTTGGGCCCCCGCCAAAAGCCACCCCGAAACCTTCGGTTATTTTTTCCGGCCGCCTTTCCGAGAGTGGAAGGCTGGCGCTTCCTCCTCTTCGCCCGCCTTCCGCTCTACGCCCGCCTGGACAGCCTTCGGAGCATCACAGACGGCTATGGTGAGTCTGCGGTGTGCCTCTCGCTGTCTGCTCCCCCTGGTTTGAACGATTTGAGAGCACCTGGGGCCGCGAAAAAAATCACCCGGAGGGCTCTGGTGACTTTTTTCCGGTTGCCTTTTCGAAGCCTGATAGCGGGCGCTGCGCCTTCTGCTTGGGAACTGTTTGGGGGCCTCTCGGGGTTTCTTGTCGGCCTCCTGAGGGCCTCTTGGGCCGTCTTGCGGCCTCCTGGGGTCCTCTTGGGGCCCTCTTGGGCAGTCTTGGGTGCCTCTCGGGGCCGTCTGGGGCCGTCTTGGGACCGTCTAGAGGCCCTCTTGGGCTCTTGAGCGTTCTCTGGCCGCTCTTGGAGCTGTCTTGGGTGCTTTTTGGGCTGTCATGGGCGCCACAAGAGCCGTCCAGGTGCCGTCTGGGGCCGTCGTGGCTGCTGGGGCCCTCCTAAGGCGTCTTGGGGCGAGCTTGGGGGCCTGTATTGTCGTCTGGGACGCTTTACAAACGAAAAACACGGAAAATACGACAAATATACGTTTTCTCTAGGGTTTGACATGATTTTTACTTGTGCGGGCTCTGTCGGGCGTCTTTTGGGACCCCACTTGGCCGTGTGGAAGCTATCTTGAGCGTCTTCGAACGCTCTTGGACCGTCTCGGAAGCCCTCTTGAACCGTCCTTGGACGTCTTGACGCTCTGTTGGAGGCCTCCGGGGGCGTCTCGGAGCGCTCCGTGGCCATCCTCGAAGCGCACCAGGGCCTGCTGGGTCTCGCAGGGGTCGCCGGGGCCCAAGAAGAGCCAGTCGGACCCCCGGTCGTCTCACACGCACCTGCCCCTGCATTCTAATAGAGACAAGGACTGACCCGTGGACTCCGTCCACGCCAACCAGCGTGTCCAGCGAGTGCCTGTTGCTGCTTGTTTCTCTAGACTGCCTGCCGATAGTGCTGCTCACGAACAATTTGTCTGCTTGCATTGGCTTGTTGCTTGCTTGCTTGCTGTTTACTTGATTGTTTGGTGCTTTCTTACTTTTTTTGCTAGCTTTATTGATGCTTGCTGTTTGCCGCTGCTGCCGCTTGCCGCCGGCGGGTGGGTCGCGGGTGGGTCGCGGGTGAGTCGCTGGTGGGTCTCGGGATGGGTCGCGGGGTGGGTCGGCGGTGGGTCGCTGGTGGGTCGCGGGGTGGGTCGCGGGTGGGTCCTTGGCGGGTCGCGGGGTGGGTCGCGGGCGGGTCGCGGGTGGGTCGCGGGTGGATCGCGGGCAGTTCGCGGGTTGGTCGTGGGCGGGTCGCGGGTGGGACGACGACAACAAACAACAAACAATACAACAACACCAACATGAACAGCAACATCAGCAGCAACAACACCACCACCAACAACAAGGCAAAACAATCAGCTGGTGCACCTGGGCCAGGTACACCAGTTCGCTCTTTCGCTCCATGAAACTAATGAAACAATCCACTGGTGTACCCTGCCCCCCCTGGCGCAGCGCAACGCAACGCTACGCGCCATACGGCCAACATAGGAAACCACAGGAGGCCGTTGGAAATCTTCTGGAACCCTTCGGAATCCCTAAGGCAGCCCACGTATTCCCACGAGCCCAACCTATGCGCGCTCCACCGAGCCGACCTCGGAGCTGCAGAATCCTTCGGAATCGTACAAGGAATCCATCAGCAGTGAATCCACCAGGTGCTCCTGTTGGCGGGGCGCGAAGGGGGGGCGCCAGCGGGGGGCTTCCCCACTAGAGTTTCTTAGAAGGCTTTGTAGATATTGTCAGAAACCCCCGAAGGCTTCTAAGAAAGCCCAGGCGTTTTAAGAAGGTCCCGCCTCGCGCCCGCCGATCCTGGATGGCAACCTCCAGGTTGGCCTCTGCAGCTCGCGCCGCATGGTGGCGAACGTGTCGCCGTACGTTGCGGCGTGCATTTTTCACAAGAGATCGGAATTGCATCCCGAACAGCAGGTGGAAAGACGGGGTCCGAAAAAAACCCAGGGCGCCTGCGCGCCCAGCTCCCAGGCCCGCCGCCGAAATCGGCGGCACACCTCGCCTAACCATATGAATCCGCTAGGAACCCGACAGAGGCAAGCTCTGATTTGGGAAACAAGTTCCTGGATAAATATTCCTTAATCAAGATTCCTTGCCACGGGTTCCTTAGCAAGGATTCCCAATCCACGTTCCTTACGAAGGATTCCTTCGCAAGGATTCCATATCACATATTCTTTACTAAGGACTCCTTAGTCAGGGTTCCTTTGTCTGGATACCTTTGTAAGCATTCCTCATGCAGCGTTCCTGAATCAATATTCCTTCGTAAAATGATGCCAGCCTTTGAACCAAACATGGCTGTGCATGGCGATGAAATGTCCAACACAGTCCGAAGACGGCCCACACGAGCTCTACACACATTGAAAGCGAAATATGCCCCATGAGACTGCATTCCTCGTGCTACCCCTGCCTCTCCTCCTCCTGCTCCTCCTCTTCCTCCTCCTCCTCCTCCTGTTCCCCCTCCTTCTGCAAATCGCCATCATCACCACCACCACCACAATCGCCACCACCTTCATCACCAGCACCACGAACATCATCATCACCATCTTCACATGTACAATCATCATCGTCGTCATCGTCATTGCCATCAACATCGCCACCACCACCACCATCACCACCATCATCATCAACATCATCCCCACCATCATTCCAAACACCCTCATCATTTGTTATATGCTGATCACGGCTCCCTCAAATCTGGGGATACGATGTGTTCCATGTGACGGCCTTCCTCATCCTCCTCCTCCGCTTCCCCCTCCTCCTCCCTGATCATCCTCCTTGTCGTTATCATCGCGGCCACAACCATCACCAACATCATCATCATCACCACCATCCTCTTCACCACCATCCGCATCCTCATCACCATACCCATCATCAGCGTCAGCATCATCAGAATCATCAGCGGCATCCGCACCATCGTCATCATGCCCATCACCATCATCATCGTCATCCCCATCATAATCACCACATCATCGCCAGGACCTTCATCTTCATCTCGGCTCTCCCAAACCCTGGGATTCGAGGTGACATGCGTAACGGCCATCCCCTTTTATCCACCTCCAACTCCTCCTGCTCCTCCTGCTCCTCGCCATTATCAACACAAACCCCGGTAGGAAGTCCCGGGCGAGACCGCGATTCCTGAAAACCAGGAAATGTATGACGAGAGCGCATGTCGTTGGCAAAGCGCAAGGACATCTTGAACGAGAGCGTGACCACTTGGTAAATCGCAGGAGGTCTCGATCGAGAGCGCTTGAGCGAAATACGATTCCAGTATAAAGCGCGAGGAAAGCTCGAGCGAGAGCGTCATTCCCAGGTTCGTCGCGACGAAGCCCCGAGCGAGTGCGCGATTAATGTGTAAACCGCGGGGAACTGTCGAACGTGGCTGAGATTCCTGAGCAACTCAGGGGGGCGTACTGAGCGAGAGCGCGATTCTGAAATCGCGAGGAAGTCTGGAGCGAAAGCGTTCAAGCGAGAGCGCGTTTCTTTGGTAAATCGTGAGGAAGTCTCGAGCGAGAGCGCGATTCCGAGGTAAATCGGTGGAAATCTCGGGCGAGAGCGCGATTCTTGAATGAATAACCGTGAACCCACGAGAATAAACCCCCAGGGATAATAAAGTTCGGGGTTTTCAGGGAAATAATAAAAGTTGCCCGCCAGGGCCAGCATAAAGAGATATCAAGAGGAAAAAACCAAAGATATCTTGAGGATGGTCTCGGTTGAGACATCCTTAACGAATTGCTTGTTTCGCTTGAGACATCCTCGAAACATTTGTCTGTTTCGCTTGAGACATCTTCAAATTACTGCTTATTTCGCTTGAGACATCCTTGAGGGAGGAGGATGAGAAAGAGCAAGATGATGAGATGAGAAGGGGATAGCAAACATCCAAAGTTTAAAACTTATTAGATTTAATTTGTAAACGCTTGATTGAAAATTGTCATCTGCTCGTGTAGGGTAGGTAGCTCACGTGCCTCGTTTTCCCAGGATAATCAACCCCAGCGATAAACAAGTTCAGGGCGCCAGGGGGAGGAGGAGGAGGAGGAGGAGGAGAAAGAGAGAGACAGAGAGGCCAGGAAGGAGACATAAAAAGAGAGAGAGAGAGAGAGAGAGAGAGAGAGAGAGAGAGAGAGAGAGAAAAAAGAGAGAGACAGATACATAAAGAAAGAGAGACGTAAATAACTACAAAGAGACATACGGACATTGGTTTCGCTTGAGACATCCTGAAACAACGCGTTCGCTTCGCTTGATGTTGTTATCCCAGCATAACGAACTTTTCCCGTGATAATGAAGTTCGCGAAGAGGTCTCGAGTGAGAGCGCGATTCCAAGGTAAATCGCGAGGGCGTCTCGAGCGAGAGCCGTCGGCGTTATTGTTGAATTTTCGTATCTGAAGAATAATTATTGTTGATCCCCCCCACCGGTGCAAACTGTTTTTCTTAATCAAAGTGTGTCCCTCGACGCTCGCACACTGTTTTTTGACAGGGGACGTCTTCCTGCTCAAACTGGCCCCCTGGCCCCCGGGTTACAACAACAACGGCTCCCGCCTGAGACTTCCTTACAATTTAGCCAGGACCCCCGCTCCCGCCCGAGACTTCCTCGCATTTTATTCAGGAATCGCGCTCTCGCTTGGGACTTCCTTACAACTTATTCAGGAATCGCTCTCCTGGATCTCTGGAGTCGCGCTCTCGCTGGAGACTAGCTTGCAACTTACTGACGAATAGCCTTGCGCTGGAATTTCCTGCAATTTGCCCAAGCGCCGCGCTCCAGACACCCAGGCACCCAGGAGTCGCGCCCGTTGTGGCCACATGTGCATGCCCTTCGTGGCCCCG